ACCAGATGCACCCAACTTGTTCCTCCCCAAGAATGCAGGAAACTGCTTGGCTGTGTTTACCACATCCCACAGCTGAGAAGAGTGTGTGACATAGAGTAGGTGCTTCACGGGTATTTCTTTAATCATAAGTAACTAATGAATGAGTTTCCCTCCTGTTCATGCCATTCCTAGCCTGGTACCCAAAGGAACAGGTTAAAAATAGACATCATGGTGAATTACTGCTCCTCTTTGTTTACCTTTCTCTATTTTGTAAAATGTTTATAATGCACATGGTCATTTTTATAAAAACAAGTCATGACTTTGTTGTAGATGAGAGTTTATTTATTTATTTGTTTAAGACCGGCCTCATTCTGTTGCCCATGCTGGAACGCAGTGGCACAATCACGGCTCATGGCAGCCTCAACCTCTGGGCTCAAGAGATTGAGGAAGGTGAGGCAGGAGAATCACTTGAACCCAGGAGGCAGAGGTTGCAGTAAGCCAAGATTGTGCCACTGCACTCCAGTCTGGGCAACAGAGCAAGACTGCACCTCAAAAAACTAAAAATAAAAAAAGAGAGATCCTTCCTCCTCAGTCTCCCAAAAAGCTGGAACTACAGGTGTGCGTCACCAAGCCCACACTATTAGAGTGTAGCTAATGTTTGTATTTTTGTAGAGATGGGATTTCACCATGTTGCCCAAGCTAATCTTGAACTCCTGGACTTAAGTGATCCACCTTCCTGAGCCTTCCAAAGTGCTGAGATTACAGGCATGAGCCACGGTGCCTGGCTATAAAATGAAACTATTATAAAGCCTAAATCTTGTGACACTCCTACTTAAACCCCGTGGCCTCCTCTTATATTTGCACCTTTCTGCATCTCCAAGTGACCCCCAGCTTCCTCTCCAGCTGCACCTTGTGCCCTCAGTCTCATCTTCTGTGCTCTAAACTCACCAGCCTTAATTTGGTGTCAGGAATGCCAAGACTTGCCCACATGTTTTTCTTTTGCTTGAGGTATATTTGTCTGCTCTTCATGAACCTGGGATTTCATCAAAATCCAATCTCACTCGTTGCCCGACCCTCAGAGGGGCCTGCCCTCTCCCCTCCACCTAAGTAACCCAGCCCCTCCATTATCCTGCCATGGCACCATGGATGTGTTCCTCATTGCACTTTTGTTCTTGTCAGCTGTTTCCTATAAAAGACTATGAGATTCATGAAAGTGAAGGCTGTGTCCTACTCAAAATTTTATCCCTAATGACCAGCAAAATGCTTGGTACTTGGTTTACACCTGCAATAAATATGTGTGGCATGAATGAATGAAGATGTAGAAAGCAATATTGGCTGGGTGTGGTGGCTCACACCTGCAATCCCACACTTTGGGAAGCTGAGGCAGGTAGATCACTTCAGGTCAGGAGTTGAAGACCAGCCTGGCCAAGATGGCAGAACCCCATCCCTACTAAAAATATATATGTATATATTAAAAAAACAGCCAGCATGTTGGCATATACCTGTAATCCCAGCTACTCAGGAGGCTGAGGCACAAAAAGAAAAAAAAAAAAGAAAGCAATGTTCAACCCGAAAGAGTAGAGCAATAATGTAGCCTTTTAGACACTCTGGTAAGACAGGGAGGTTACCTCTTAATTCAATCACCCTAGATTGGCAATGACTGAAAATTATGGATGATATTTACTCCTACAGCCAACATTTCATGAGAAGGAAATGCATTAAATAGCACAATGAAAGAAACAAAGCCCCTTTCATTCCCACCATCTCCTCACACCCCTACCAACCTGAGAGATCTGCAGGTCATAGCATCTCAATTCTTAGCACAATGGCATGGGGGCAGTTCTGGCTTGTCAGAGGAGGGGACTCTAAGAGCACCTTCCTGTGCAGGTGGGATAATGCTTTTATCACACAGCAGGGAGAGACTGCAGGCTGCAATTTCACCCTGGTCCCCTATTATCAAAGGCATGCCATTTCCTCCCTGATCTTAGACTACATCTAAAGGAACTCCCTCAAGGGACCAAGTGCAGCTGGAGAAAGTTTCTTCATGCCAAAGGAAATGTTAAGGAAGTAGGAAGAGCATGACCTTAAATCAGAGCTGGTCAGAGACAGGGCTAATTGGCCAGGGTCACCGAGTCAGCCCTACACTGGTGACCTACCCTCCGAAGGAAGCTTCTGGACAATCCCCTTGCCCTACTCTGACACTCACCTATCCTCAGCCCAACCCTTCACCTGAATACAGCTCAGCCCTCCCTCTACCCACAGCCTCACCCTCAGCCTGGCCTCATGCAGATCCCTGATTCCAGGAACAGACACTCTTGTACTTGAATGTACATCTCATTTCCTTACCCTGACTGTGAGCTTTTCGGAGCAATGCAACAATACCTCCTCAGAGACTTCACATACAAATCCACAATGGCCAGACTGTGCACAACAATAGAGTCTGCAGCAACCAGCCGGGAAGCCAAACCCTTGCAGTAATCAACCCAGAACGGTGGTCAGGAATTGGTCAATGACTTTCTTTTTCTTTTCTTTTTTTTTTTTTTTTT